TCACCTTCACATTTACATTAAGAAAACAAAGCTATTGAAATGTCAAAGTACTGCTGGACTTCCAGATAGGGTCTTTTATTTGCAGACTTCCCCTGAGCACGGAGCCTGACGAGGGGCTCGATCCCACCACCCTGAGATCATGACCTGAGCAGAAATCAAGAGTCGGACTCGTAACCGACTGAGCCACCCAGGTGACCCAAAATAGGGTCCTTTAGGACAGTAGACTCAGACAGTAAGTTTTCCTCTTTGGGCAGCTCTCTTCCTCTTTCCTGCTGCCTGGAAGGGGGATAGAATAACTAGAGCTCCCCCACTCATGCTGTGCCCCTAAGGATGGCAGCCACGGTGAAACATGTAGAGAAGCTGGGTGCTTGATGATTTCATGAAGCACCGTGTCATTCTGTATTGCTACCTCTGGACTTAACAAAACACGAGGTTTTTTGTTGTTTTTTTTTTAAGATTTTATTTATTTGACACACACAGAGAGAAAGAGAGAGCACAGTAGGGGGAGTGGCAGGCAGAGGGTGAAGCAGGCTTCCTGTGGAGCAGGGAGCCCAATGGGGGACCCGATCCCAGGACCCTGGTATCATGACCTGAGCCGAAGGCAGACGCTTAACCAACTGAGCCACCCAGGCGCCCCTGGGAGTCTTATAAATGAAACTTTGTCAACCTTAGGTATTTTAGCCACTTCATTTAGCTTAGTTTTTTTTTTAACTTTTAATATCTTTATTTTTTTGAAGTGTCTGTTGCAGTGACTTTATTTATTCGCTTGTTCCTTTGTTTTTGCCACTGTTAGTTTTTATTTTCTATCATAAACTGCCAAACCTAATTATAATTGAAACAAATGGATTATTTTATGGTCTGCAGGTGAAATAGAAAGTGAAAACATAATTTTGGAAAATGATTTGGCTTGTAAATGTTCTTATGGAGTAATTCTATTTGCAGAAACACATCCTAAGTAGTGTGTGTGTGAAGCTTTAACAACAGAAACATTTACATTATAAGGAAAACAGAAACTACTTAAACAGCAACATAATGGAGTGGGTAATAAAATATTATATATTCATTGAATTAAGGAATTAAAGAAACAAAGAACATTTTTATTTTAAAAAGCATTTTGTGGTAACAATTTAAAAATATAGAAGTTTATGAAGTAAAAGCAGTAGTCTCCCTTTCCTACTATAACATCTTCACTCCTAACTGTTGACAGTCTAGTGTATATCTTTCCATAATTTTTCCTTTGTCTGTACAAATCAATACAGATATGCATTCACATTTACAAGATATTTTAAAATTAGATAATACACATATAAAAGAAAAATTATCATTAACATGGAGAAATGCTCAGAGTACAATAAAAAGTTTTATAAATAGTATATACATTTGATATACAGCAAGATCTCAATTACTTTTCAAAACGTGCCTAGAAAAAAAAGACTGGAGTGAAATATATAATAAATGTGTAAATGAATGACTAGTAAATTCTAATTTTCAGTATTAATAAATAGTTTACTATTAGTAATAATTATATTTTCTCTTAGAACTAATGCAGGGTTTTTTTCCACAATCCCCATGAGACTGAAAGTAAAAAACATCTTACTAAATTTCAGGGGAATTATGGGAGACTGAGGGCACATATTTGAACCACCTGCCTCCCAGTCCCATCCAAAATGACCTAGAAAATTTAAAAATATGCAAAACCCTAAATCAGTACTGGAAGCTAGGGAAGGAAACTATACAAATGCCAGAAACTTCAAAGAATTTCTTCTAAATCTTGTGCAGTTGGGACCAGATTTAAAAAAGACATCCAAGGCCAATTTGCCAAACACCAAAGGAGTGGCATAACCTGGAGGGGTGAGGCCTAGAAGCTGACTGTGGGACCACATCCGTGATTTGGCTCTGGAAAATTGTGCAAGTGTGAGAGTAGCAAAGGTGGCAAACAACAGTAAAGGCTTCAAACAGAAAGCTCCTGTATGGTGGCCATGGTTATATTATTGGATGGTTTCCCCCAAGCTTTGGAGGCCTTCACTGCCTCTGCAGAGCTGTGCATGAAGGCAAGGCCTAAGTGCCCCTCCTGCCCCCGCCCCCCCACCCCCCACCCCCACAGGGAGCAGACTGTCACTAGCAGCAGTATTCCTTGATGATGCTGTAGGCACTGGGCTAGAAACCTTGGCCTGGGTAGTTATATCACCCACCAGCAGGGAGCTTGGGGGTGCCTCTGGAAGCCCTAGATAGGAAGCCCGCCACAAAATCTGTCAAATAGCACAGCCCTTTCACCAAATGTGAGAAAGAAACTTTATAAGTTGAAATTTAGATAACCATATTTTTTTTCAATTTTGACTTCACCTTCACACAGTACATAAGAATTACTTTGAGATGGATCATAGACGTAAATGTGAAAAGTAAACCAATAAAGCTTTTAAAGGAAAACATTATGTCTTCATGATCTCTGGACAAAATTTCTTAAATAGAACATCAAAAAAACCATCCAGAAAATACAAGATTAGAAAACTGAACTTCATTAAAACAAAGAAGTTACATTTGTCAAAAGGCAACATTAAAAGAATTAATAAGGCAAGCTACAGATGGGAAGAAGATATTTGCAAAACATATGCCTGACAAAGGACTCATATCCACACTATATAAAGAATTCCCACCAACCAATGAGAATAAAACAGGAAAACAAACTAAAAATGGGTAAAATACTTTAACAGTCACTTTAGAAAATGACCAATAAGCGTGAACATTATTAGTCACAGGAAAGCAAATGGTTAACAATACCAAGTGTTGGTATTGATGAGAACACTCATACGTTGTTGACATAGGTGTAAACTGATTTTAAAAAAATCGCTTTAGGAAGATGTTTGACGGTGTCCAGTAAAACTAAACATATGTATACCTAGGGCCCAACACTCCACTTTTAGGTATGCAACCTACAGAAATGAATACTTGTATCTATTGAAATACATGACCATAAAAGGATGGCCATAGCTTTATTTATGAAGCCCAACAACTATAGAAGAATAAGTATATGTACTTTAGAATATCCATATCCATATGAAAGAAGAACAAACTATTTCTATATGCAGAAACATGGATGAGTTCTCAACATCATATTGAGCAAAATGAGCCAGACTCAAAAAAGTAGGATGACAGTTGTGTCCTCCAAGAAGCAGATGCCAAAACTGAGTTAGAAGCACAAAAGATTTGCTGGAAATAGGAATGGACAGGGAGAGCCTCCAAACCTGACATTTAGAAGAGAAAGGACACAAGCTGGGTAGAAAGAGCCTCAGCCTTCAGTGCGGCTCTGGGAAAATCTCGGCGAGCTCAGTGAGGAGCTTCAACATAAAGAAGGGTTTCTCAGTAGCCAGAAATGGAAAGCCAAGGTACGGCCATGTTCAGTCAGTGACTGGTGCTACCCAGGAAGTACATGACTTTAACTCAAAAGCTGAAGCGTCACCAGGATAAAAAGCCCAGCTTAGGGAATATAGTCAATGGTATTGGAATGGCATTGTGCAGTGACAGATGGCCACTACACTGTGGTGAGCAGAGTATAACATATAGACTTGTCAGATCACTATATTGTACACCTGAAATTAATGTAACACCGAGGGTTAACCATACTTTGATATAAATGAATAAATAACAACAACAACAAAAGCTGAGACACACACACACACACACACACACACACACACCTGGAGATGTGGTGGATCATCTCTTGAAGGGTGATCTGAGTGACACACCCGGGTGGCTGCCACAGGTACACACCACGTGATTGCACGTGTACGATGTCCAAAGTTGTCTAATCTCATCTAGTCCACAGCGACGGAGGTCAGAAGAGCAAGGATTGTGACTGGGAGGGAGGCAGGAGGGAGCCTGTTGGGTGGTAGTAAATATGCTATTTCTAGATTTGAGTGATAAATACATATATTTGCATCGATATAATTTATGCAACTTATGATATGTAGGTTATACTTCTGTTATAAAGGGGAGGGAATGATAGAGATGAAGTTTCCTTTCCAGAATTGCACGTGGCCCTGACTCCCCGAGGTTGTTTGTCTAGGGAACCAGCCACACATCTCCTTTTTAGACTTAAGAGGTCCCTGAAAGTATTTTTAAGAAAAAGAGTAAAAATAATAATAATAATAATAATAGTAATAAACCCTTTCCTGGTTTCTGGTAGAGATAGCTAAAAAGAATTCTCACTATTTAAATATAAATAAACAGCAAAGTCCCATATCCGGCAGGACTAGGTTTGGCTGTGACAGACAACCCAAAGTAATACTGACTTAGAAAAGATAGGATTTATTTAATTATCACCTAAAAGAAGTCCAGAGGTAGTTGGTCCAGTCCTAATTTGGTGCTGCTCAATGGGCTCCGTTTATCCTACGATTCTGCCATCCTGCAGCGAGGTAAAAACCATCTGCACATGGTTTTTACCTCACTGTCCAAGAGGGCACCTTCAGCGGCAATCATTACACTGCCTTCTAGCTACAAGAAAAGATGACAAAGGGACACCTTCCCTTCCATTTGGTGACACTACCCAGAAGTTATACATAGTGGTGGAACTCGTTCTATGAGCATGCCTAGTTACAAGGCAGTCTGGGGCATGAGGGTTTTATTTCAGGGGCCAGGTGCTCAGCTAGAAAGCAGAGTTCTATTACTAAGGATAAAGGCAAAACAGATACTGAGGGATAACATGCTAGTTCTGCCATAACCCACAGAAGAATTTGTAGGATAAAGGAAAAAAAAAAAACCAGCATACAATAGCGGAGGATCATATCAGAGAAACATGTATACTTTAAAAACAAAAATTTTTAGATGCATCCGTATTATGCTCTTATTTTTTTTTTTAAGGGCTATACACGCAAGGGGTACCTGGGTGTCGCAGATGGTTAAACGTCTGACTTGATTTCAGCAAGGTTCCTGATCTGGGGGTCGTGAGATCGAGGCCAGAGTCAGGCTCCGCACTCAGTGCAGAGTCTGCTGGAGATTCTGTCTCCCTCTCCCTCAGCCCCTCCTGCTCATGCTCTCTGTCTCTAAAATAAACAAATAAATCTTTGTTTAAAAATGCTGTATATTTGGAAACAAGTGATATGAGATAAACTGAACAGAAAGAGTTTAGGAGGGCATCAGTTAAGAAATAGAAATGAAAAGGGAACTGGGTGACTAAAGAAAAAAGTATCTTGAAATTAATTCTGCAAATTGTGAGATTTTGTACTTCATTAGAGGCAGCGGAGAACAGAACTGACAATGTAGAAAACCGTATCACTAATACAGTCGACAAGCTTGCTGAATTTTTGCATGGCAACAAGAAAGGGAAAGCAGACAAGAGAAATGTGCCTTTGGAGAGAAAACAGTTGTGGAGCACTAACCATGAGGGGCCACTATGTGGATAATGGTAGTTTTGAAGAAAAGATCTAAACAAATGGAAGAGGAGCAATATTGAAAGCCACAAACAAAGAAAATGTTTATAAGCTAAAAGTAGAATTTTTAAAAAATATTTTATTTGTTTATTTGTGAGAGAGAGAGAGAGAGCAAGAGCGAGTTGGGAGCAGAGGGAGAAGCAGACTCCCTGCCGAGAAGGAAGCCTGACACGGGACTTGATCCCAGGACACTGGGATCATGACCTGAGCAGAAGGCAGACGCTCAACTGACTGAGCCATTCAGGTGTCCCTAAAGGTAAAACTTAATATGCAGATCAACATAGCTTCCTAGATACTAGGAAAAAAATAATAAATGAAGAAAATATAGACACATCCTGGTGAAAGTCTGAATGTCAAGGCAAAATAAAGATTCCTATGAGAATCTGGCAGAAGAAAAAGATCCTTCACCTAGAAAGGAAGGAAAATAATTTTTTCTTCACTTTCTCCCTTGCCATATTTGAAGCCTAAACATAAGGAGCAACATTTATGGTGTGAAAGAGGTGAGAGCAGGAAGAGCTAATCCTGTCGGTGACTTTGCAGGATTGGGATACAAAGGTTGTACACTTGTGTGAAAGAGAGGGATGCTCCCTTTTTTCATCGATCCATTGTATCTTTAGATTTCTAAGTAAACACTTCAAAGATGGGGATAGGTGAGTACCTGCAAGAAACCCCAAGGGATTTCTGCCAGCTATTTTACAGTGGATGAGTCACGCAGGGCGAAAGCAAGTGACTGGAAAATAATGGTGGGCACCTGGTCAGAAGAGCAGGAAAACCTTGCAACTTACATAAATGTCATCCCAGCAAACTGAGAGTGGTGGCGGTACCACCAGGCCAAGTGGACTTCATGTGTGTGCAGGCACACTCACTTTCTGAGCCTCTCTCTCTCCCCTGCTCTTTGATATTGAGCAAGGATACAACTTCCTCTAGACCAGGAGGCTCTCGCGGGGATGGGAGCTTTCATGTAGGGAACACAGAGATCTGAAGAGTTGGTCTGTGAAGTGATATGTAACTTTACGATGTGGCCATTTTGAGGGGGGGAATAGAATCCAACGTTAATTGAGTTCTCATAAGAGTCTATGACCCCCAAAAGATCCAGAACCAGTCCTGATGGCTTTGTAAACAAACTGAGAAAAGTGATAAAATGAGGAGAGAAAATAAGGAAAAGGGAGAGATCCTGGAAATACAGTGAACATGTCCTAAGCATCCAAGAAAGAGAAAACAGAAGAGATACGGTAGAAGCAATATTCAAAGGAATAACCGGGGGAAATTGCCGAGTTTATAGAATTAAAGGTTACCAGGCAATAAGGAAGAGACAGAGACACCTAGACATACCCTGTTGAATATTTCAAGATTTAAGGAGAAGAAAAAAACCTCTACAAGCATCCAGGCAAGGGGAAAAAAAAACAAAACAGCTTATTTCTTAAGCAGTGGTTCTCAACCCCAGCCATGTATTAAAATCATTGGGTGAGCTTTTAAAAAATACTGGTGTCTGGGCTCCATCCTTAAACATTCTGATTTAATGACTCTGGTATGGAGCCTGGGCATTGACATTTAAAAAAATCTCCCTCAGTGATTTGAATGCACAGCCAGGGTTAAGAATCACTGCCCCAAGGGAAGAAAAACCATCCACTTCTCCTCCAGAGAACCAAAGAGCAGCAGTAAACGGAGACTGACTTCCAAGCTGGGGAGGAAAGCGATGATACGCTCAGTCAAGAGATCATTTGTAGGGAGACCAGGCCGGTGCTCAGGAAGTATTGCACTCACAGTTTAGAGGTCCGATCCAGCCAGCCTAGAGCTGGATCAAGATAAAGACCCCAAGAATGAGGGTAACATGATAAAAAGAGATGTTAGGAACTAATGGAAACTAAGTAAACCTAGAGTAACGTCTGGAAAACAGTCGTTAATATGGTTATAAGACAAAATAAATTTCAAAAATCAATCTCCAAAGAAAAGTTAATAATGTACAATAACAGTAAAAATTTAGATCTAGGGCACCCGAGTGGCTCAGTCGGGTAAGCATCCAACACTTGATTTTGGCTCAGGTCATGATCTCAGGGTCGTGAGATCCAGTTCCCATGTCGGGCTCCTTTATCAGCGGGGAGTCTGCTTGAGATTCTCTCTCTCCCTCTGCCCCTCCTCCACCCTGGCTTCTTGCCCTTTCTCTCTCCCTCAAAAACAAAACAAAACAAAACAAAAAACACAAACATTTAGATCTAAATTCCAGAGTACATCAATTGTAATTAGGGAGAGGCAGTAAGGACAGTAAAAGCCTGAAAGAGTTCTCATTTTACACGGATGATAATTAATAGTTATATTCTTAAGCTTGATAAGCAGAGATAAACATATTTTGAATTATGTTTAATAACAAAAAGATTATCACTATTAGAAAAAATGTAATTATAGCTTTAAACTACTAGAGAAATAAGAGCTAAGAAAACATAGTTGGTGAAAATATAGCAGGATATAAAACTATTACACAGTATGATACTGTTTTATGAATATATATATAAAATACACATAAAAGAATACAAAAAAGAAACAGCCCCATATTAACACTGGTTGTCTTCAACAAGTTGGGATTATGGAGTTTGTGGTTTGTTTTTTTATCAATATGTTTCAACTTTTTCTAAATATTTTACAATTAGCATGTTATTTTTTGTAATTCAAAAAAATCAATGAACACTAACATTTTAAATTAATATTTGTCTCTCTTTTATCTTCTATGCAATTTCATAGTGCTTATTTACTACCCAGGATAAAAGTTAAGTTTTTTAATGTGCTAATTTTAGCAATTACAGGATTTAAAAAATCTGATCCTACATATTTCTGAAGACTAAACACCCGCGAATATCATAAAGGTGTTTCTGTGAACATTTCTTACTAAGTCACTTTCTCGAAGTAACATGTTTGTGTAAAATCTTGCCAAAAACAAGAATATTAAAATGTGTTCTGCATTAAGAAGGAATCCACATCACAAGTATATTAGAAGTTAACAAGATTTGGGAGTAAAAAACATGAAACCAGAAGAACTTGGGAAAATGTGCTTGCAACTATAAATTCTGTAATTAATTTGCTTTGCAAGATTTTTTGGAGATGCTAGGTCACCAAGTAACATCTTGGATTTGCTTTTTATTTAGTCAAAACATACAAAAGCATACATTATTTGTGGCAGGACTGTGGTCTCAATGCATTTTCCAGCCAACTCTTCAATTTTGATATGAAGAACACTGCACAAAGTCATTTGTTCTTTAATTTCACTTCAATTATTCCTTACATCTGTCCCACACAGAATGCGGGATTTTATTTAATCCGTGTTTTCCCAGGCTTCCATAGCTTGAGGGTACTAATGGAGTCCCATGAAGAAGAATCCAAATTCTATGGGCCTCTAACTTACCTTCCATGGGTACCTTCTGCAGGACCTCAATTGCCTGCGGCTCTTAAGGACTTCTAGATGCCCCTGGGTGTATATACTCCATGTGCTCCCAGAGGGGTCTGCCTTTGTTGCTCGAACTTCCTGCTGTGCCATCCCACATCCCACTGGGCAAGCTCTGCGTGGCTGCCATGCCTGCGAGTCTCACTGCCTTTTGCCACAGTGCAGGTAACAACACCCCTCGTGCAGAAGGCGTAAAGCTTCAGAGTGCTGTGTTGGGAAGAAGGCAAGAATAGTTCATTCCTCTCTTGCCATCTTGTAGCCAGCCAGTTTTGCTCCTGCCTTGGCGTCCTGTTTTTAAATAAAGCTCCTCTTGTTTTTTCTTTCTGATAACCCTGCTCTGTGTGTGTGTGTGTGTGTGTGTGTGTGTGTGTGTGTGTGTGTGTGT